GTGTACAAAACAGTAATCGGTATTCCTTGGCGCGGGAATTCTATGGGGTGTGTGTGTACAAGCTAGATGGCTTTACGAATGCGATAGTTTTGCCATGACTACCACCTCTTTCATCCGACCTAAGACTGTCTGTCGCCTCCTACACGTTACAAAACACATTGAGGAATGCATTCTTATTGCACTGGAACAGAAGTGGCCTTCTCCTCGGCTCAATATACGTTGAGCAACGCAGGTGCTTGGACGCAGCTGATCTACACACCTCCACCTGACTGGTGCCAGTATTCGACTAACAAACGTTGCATGCCTTAATTCCAATAGTGTGTGTACGTAGCTCGCCAACCAGTGCTGTATCAAATCTGATCAGCGTTTTGGCCCTGCTGGTAAAACTGGCGTCGCCGTAGACAACAATTGAATCGTTCAAGTGGTCTGTGCAACAAACATTCACTACACAGCCGTGATATAAACGTTGTGTAACTGCTGGACTAACGAATACTTAAACCAGTTATTGAAAACTCTACATTTCCGAGCTGACGGCTAAATAAGGAGGTCGCAACATTCCCAAACATAACATATGTAATTTTGGGACGAGATTCGCAGTGAGGTATTCTCTCCACACGTTGCTGGCGCTGTAGAGTGTAGCCGTGGTAGCTTTGGTCTCTCGGTATTGCACACTGAACACACGAACCTCAAAGTCGGACTCTGATACTCTCAGTCGTAGAGGGTAAACAACGCCGAGTATGATGCCGTATTTAACGGAGTCTATGGTGACGACTGATCGCTCCAGCAAAGTACCCTTAGCCTCCTCGTCAAGCTGTTCGCATAGATAACCCAGGGTCACGAGATTGTGGAGGTGCAACTGATACCTCTTCGTCACCGTGTTGAACAAACAGACTCCACGAAGTCTCGGGTACTCATAGCTCCCATTGATTAATTGCCGGATAGTACATTGACATCCTGTTGTCGTAATCAGACACGCGTTCCATTAGTCTAACTACATACCCCAGTGGACCCCGACAGTCAGACGCCCCCTGTGCATTTACGTTTTTAGAATATACGATACGATGTCCTTCGGACGTTTGTTGACTTTGTTCGACCTACTGCACAATATAAATATTTATTCACGTTTCTTTTCTAGTGAGGGTCAACGATCTGCCGTAGCCTCCTAAATTGAACATGCTCGTGATCTGATCCGAGATTTTGGCGCGAATACATCGTCTTAAGAAAAGCGATGACGCGACAAGAAAGCAGCACGTGTTTTTACAATTCTACTCGAATTTCTCATATCAACAAGGAATATATTCGATGTAAGTACCTGTGGCGTATGTATACATCGATATAAATAGCATTGAATATTGCGATCCGCTGAACACAGTTAATCAAGTATTTATCCTCACACAATCATCTCAAGATTAATGAGGAGAGCAGACAATAGAAACATAAAGGTAATCATGACCAAGTCGTACGGACTTTAGACCATATAAATGTGTATATGTATGTATACGTATATATATATTATATATATATCCACATATATCTATATCTACATCTTGAAATCTATACC